GAAAAGGACTCAGATCACATGAAATGCAGCTTACTCTCACTGGCAGTCAGAAGGAAGCTCTTATCACAGGTGTCTTACTGGAAAGGAGAGAAAACAAGAGGATATTGAAATGGAGAAATTCAAGTCCCTCTTGAATCCTCTCCAAGTATTGCAGATACTGAACAACTTACCCTGTCTGTGAGGACTACAGAACCTCTGAATTTCTGGCCTTTTTGGCTTGTGCCTGTGTTTTCTCTAAATCTCAGAATCCTCTGAATTATTACCTCAGGGCCACGTGGGAAAACGGGGGCTGAGGGAAAGTCAGTGTGGCCTGCACTCTCTGAACCCCCAGTCAGCATCCTGTTCATTGATCTCAGGAGCCCTACTAGAATTCCAGGGGATTTAGGAAATTAAGACACCAGTGACCTCTTTTAGTCTAGCAGATTTACAGAAGTCTAAGACATGTTTGTTGAGTGAGTAAGTGAGAGATGAGTGAATGAATGACAAGTTGGACTTGACTTCCAATCATCCAGCAAACACAGAAGAGGGGACCATGCCACCACTCCACAAAGGGCAGAACAAATTAAAACACCTGATAGGAGTTTTCACTTTTGTCACTTAAGAAAAAAACAACAAAACTTCCTGTCCCTAAGTTTCAGCTGTGATTTTGATGTTCTAACCATGCAAAAAAGGGTCCCAGAAATGTGGATCTTGGGGTGCTGGTACTAAGGAGTTGATCTGGGAAAAGAGGAAAGGAAATTATTGCTTTTTTGGAGAGAAGAAGTCCAGGAAGTTCTTAGGTGGTAATTAGACACCGAGGGTCTCAGCGGGGAGAAGTGGGATCTGAGAAACAAGCCTCAGATTTGGGGGAAAGGAACTCCACAGCAGAGAGCAGCCTGCACGTGACACTCTGTCTGCTGGCCTTCTGATGTGAGCTCCTAACCTTCTGTCCAGGGGCGGCTGGGCCTCAGACAAGCCATCAGAGCTGGATGAGCCACAATGGCTCCACCATCAGTCTGTGTGTCCGCTAATACATTCCACTCAGTACATTAATTTCTTTTTTTTTTAAGATTTTATTTATTTGACAAAGAGAGACACAGCAAGAGAGGGAATACAAGCAGGAGGTGAGCAGAGGGAGAAGCAGGCTTCCTGCGGAGAACCCTGGGATCATGACCCGAGCCAAAGGCAGACGCCTAACAACTGAGCTAGCGATGTGCTCCAGTACATTAATTTCTTCTTTTTTTTTTTAAAGATTTTATTTTTATTTATTTGAGAGAGAGA